GCTGCATTGCATATAACAAGATAATACAGGGGTTGCTATCTTTTCTCTAGTCTCTTTATTTATAACAGATGCTAGTTTTATCATCTTATGAATTCTTCAGAGAAAAATCAGTGATGGCTATCAAGTTTCCAGGAAGCTTATTAACCAATACACTGGCTAGCCTAGACTCCAGGTACAGGTATTCTATGCCACTTAGGATCTGGTCAGCCGTTAAACCAGTTCAGTGTTCTTTATAAAGTTTGAAAACTATAGTATATAAGAGTTTTCATGTTGTCAGAGAAAATTCGTATGAGTGTAGATCTGATTGTTACCAAAACAAGGGATAGAAACTGGGGGGTTGAGAAGCGCATTACATCAGACAATCAAGAAAAAGAAGCCCAAAAGTGTTTGAAATACTGATTTTATAAATAGGGTTTATTCTTCAAACACAGCAATCACTGGAATTCTTTTGTTATGTCTTCCAAGATTTTCTTCAATAAAAACTACTTATCAGAAAATCTTGGGCTCTTGTGAGCTTGCCTTAATTGGTTCCAGTCCTACCTGTCAGTTGAGCTTGACACAGCATTACAAGGGCCTGGCCACTTCTTGAGTGAAACACTAAAAAGTAAGGAAGAACTTGGCAGCAACTACATCAACTATTATTGAAAGTTTTTATGTTAGAGAAACCTACAATAGCTTGTTAATGTCTTTGCATCTTTACATTAAATTGCAGTTAATATTACATAGCCTGGCTGAGATGTCAAAACTCCCATAAGTCAAGCTTTATTCCTTTCCATCTGGGGCCTTATGCCACATCCCTTTGGAGAAAATCCCATTTCCTGTTCATGTAATATGGCAGATTCAACCAGGGCTCTGTGACTGCTGATTTTAATTTGATACCCCATTTGCACAACTTAAAATCATAAAGTTAGAAGGAGCCATTTAGGCTTTCAAGCCCAACCCCCTCCACTCAGGGCAGGTATCCAAATGAAACCATCCCAGGAAGATGGTCATCTAACAAAGGGGAGTCCACCATCTTTCATAATTCCGTTATCAAACTCCTCTTACTCTTAAAAGTTTTTCTAATATTCAGTTGAATTCTGCTGCAACAACTAAATGCAACAGTTTACAAACTATGTGCTGTGGCCTATGATAAGCTTGACATTTTCCCCCAAAAAACCTCATCACTGTAGAATTCAAAGTCTACACAGGTATTTCTCATTTAAGAGGCTTACTCATAGTGCATGGTTAATTATTTTTCAGTTTGACATATTTTATATACCATCTTCAGTGCTTTCTCCACTGCTGCAGGTAAGGAAGTATACCAGCTGAGTAGCCACCTAGCAACCCATTTTGGGTGACTTGATCCCTTCTGGGTAAATAGAGGTTGTGGGAATCCTTGCAGAGCTGTTATGGGGATTATGCTAAACATCTGTTGGGTAAAGTCTCCTGGATCTATCTGGAATTAGACTTGGCTGTGCTGGTTCTCTGGAGATGACTGTGACACAGTTTTGTCTGGCTATCTGGCTGAAGTTGATCTGATTACTCCAGTTGAAGTGGACAGGATCCTTGGAATGTTAAGTTCTGCCCCGTGTGCTAGATCCCCATCCTTCCTGGTTAGTTAGGGCCCCTCAGGAGGTGACATGTAGCTGGGTTCAAGCAGTGGTAGATTCTTCTTTGTGGGAGGGGCCAGCTCCATCTGCTGGCAGTTGTCTGGAAGATGCAGCTGGTACAAAATGCAATGGCCTTGTTCTGGAATGGGATAACTAATCATGCACCTATTACAACTATGCTGAAGCAACTGCAGTGGCTATCAATCAACTAGTGGGCCAGTTCCAGGTTTTATCATTAGCATATAAATACTGTAACTCTGCAATGCTTTGAAGACAGAAAGGTGCTTCCGTGCATGTGGGGGTGTGAAGATAGCACCTGTCTGCAACCCCTTAAAGTACCCATGTCTTTTCCCAGGAAGAAGAGTTTGGTATAGGCTGCATGATACTCTTTCAGAATTTTGGTCCTTCTTAAAAAGATACCGTACTATTCATTTGGGGAGAGCATTCTGGAAGCTTCTTCATTCATTACTGGAAAAAATCATTATGAGCTACAATATGAAGGGTACAATCCAAGATCCAGCTTTTATCACCAGTCATTTAGAAGTAGGCATACACATGAATTCTAAACTAGCAAACTCTTTGAAAAGATAGTCATTGAACAGAGTGATTTATTTTGAATAAAATTGAAGACTTTCATGAGTCTGTAATCCAGTGACTACATGAAAATCATCATGTAGTTTTGTTTAGCAACAGTATAGAAGGGATTTGCTATTTCCTTCTGAGATATTTTTGTGTTTCCTAGACTAGCCTACAGCCCTGGGATTTCCTGATGACCTCTCATCCAAGTAGTAACCAGATACAAACCTGTTTAATTTCTTCAAAATCAACCAAGCAGCAGCTAGAACATGCTGAACATTTTGGAATAATCATGAATAAAACTATGTGGTCAGGATATAAAGAGCTGCTCAGTATATTGCAAAAAAGGGTAAATATTTGTTGCATATGAGCCAAAATAGCACATCCCTGAAGTTGTTGTGCACACTGATTGCAGGCCTTTTTCTTTCCAAACTAGTTTCTACAGCAGGCACAGCAGCTCATTTTATGACATTTGATACAAGAGCATTACTAGAGCAAGCTGTCACAATAATGTGCAGAAATATTGGAGGCAGCTTGCAACAGATAGGCTTCTTGGGTGGACTGCAATGGGCATTGGCAATGCAGCAGACAGGGTTCCCAGGCTCCCAGCAGTCAAGCATGCATACCACGCATACACACCAGACCCTTGCACCTTTGGTTCTGCTAGTCTTTTGGAGGAAAAGGGGAGGCTTCACAGCTGCCCCTTCTTTCACATGGAAGGGGACATGGAATAATTGCACCACTCCTGCCAAGGATGGAGCAGGAATGATTTCCTCCCCTTTCACTGGGTAAAAAAGGGATGAAAATCCAGCTCCTCCCTTTCCTTACAACAAGCATGACTTTTATTGCTGCCTATGGAGGTGATTTTTTTCTCTCTTGCAATGAAGTGGCCTTGAATGATCATGACACTATCAATTCCAGGGTAGTGATGGCTTTGTACCTTGTTGGAAGAGTTTTCACATGTTTATACAGCTGTATATATGTAGCCATATCTGCATGTGCCTGGAGCTTATGTATGTCTCCCAAAGCATAATGCAGACTTACACACTCTTGGCTCAGAAGATTGCCTATCCCTGGAGTATGGATATGATATGACCAAAAAGTCATAGCCTCGAATTCCCCGTGCAAATCATGCCTACTGTAGGGTCCTGGATTCTATGGCTTTGACTGAAGATAAGCCACATCCTGCTCAGTGGGAGGATCTGGATGCCTTGGTGTTGAAGGAATAGCAGCCAAATGAGAGAAAGGACTGGTAATCTAAACTATTCTTATTACATAGTTGGGCAGTTAACTAATAAGTGTTGGACCATTCATCCTTGCAGACTGAAAAAGACTGTGTTGGAATTGTATGGTTCTTGGCCTTAAAAAAATAAAGGACGTTATAAAGGTTTTCTCAATGTCCATGATGGTTCAGGCTACTCTGGCAGTTGGTTTCATTTTCTATTTAAGACACACAACAGCTTATTCCTCAGTAATATAGTCCAGAATTTAGCCTACAAAATGATCACTCTGCTGCTTTCAAATTAAGGAACTTATTGCTAAAGAATCCATAAACAGCAAGCACTAGGAAGGGTTAGTCCAAGGCACTCCAAATGTTGAGCTACAATTCTCAGCATTTTTTATTATTAGCATATTGGCTAAGACTACTGGGAATTGTAGTTCAACAACATCTGGAACACCACAGGCTATCTCTAAACTAGGACTTTTTAGCCTTGAAAACTGAAACTACAGAAAAGGGAGGATCCCCATGATAATAGTAATTCAATCACCTAGTTTTAGAGTGAATACAGTACAGAAGAAAAAAGGCAGGCACTGTAGAAAAAGGAAAATGCATGGTTGCTTCTCTAAGAAACAAAAGCAGCATCTACTCATCTCCAACATGAGACACTTAAGAGACAGAGTCATTCTGCGAAGTTGACAAGCACTGCAGACTGAGCACCACAGCACCTTTCAATTATTCCTGCCCACCCCCAGTAAACAATTCAAATCAACTCCCACTTCTGCAGATCCCAGAATTGGAAAGGAGGGGTGGAAAAGGAAAGCCTCAATAATCTCCTTTAGGTCTGAAATTAACACAGGTAAGCAAACTCCTTGAAACAAACAACACATTTCTGTTTAGGCTGTTGTCTGCTTTTCTTTGTTCTGTCTTCCCTCATGTTTGTTCCCAGGCTCAGAAAAAACTGCTTCCAAAGACTGCTGGACAGGACAAATATGAGCTTCAGGGAGAAGGCACCCATTAATCTAGCAACTCAGAATAGTCCTCTTCAATTAAAAAGATATTCTGCCTCTTACAGAGGACAATCAAGATTGCTATCTAGACTACTAGGTGAAGCAAAGTAGAGAAAAAGAAAACATGACAAGGCAACAGATTGTTTACCCCTGCTTTAGATTCTATTCCAGATATTTTATGGAATATTTTATGGGCACATTTATGGGAACTTTACTTATTTTCTGCTGCAGCCCATCTTTAGAACAAACTACAAAAATGTAAAATTACACAGGAAATACAAATATGTAAAATGATTCTGTAGCATGGAACTCCTTAAATGTGCAGTCTTCCTCGTGTAATCTCAAGATACTGTCGCAGAAGTAACAAAATGCACTCATTATGTTGGATACATGAAACGTAACTTATATTCTTGTAACAAAAGCCAAAAAACCTAACCACTGTGACCCAGTACTGTCTATGCATTTCTATAGACCTAAATATGGTGAATTCTGTTCTAGATTGTAGCCAGTGATTATTTTTTGGCATTAGGCTATCCTTGCATATTTTAAAATCTACGTAATCTAAATTGTTCACAAGAAAAGAAAGGAACAAATAGAACACACACAGAAATATAAAACCAGGCATCCTATGTTGATGGAACTGAGAAGCTGTTTAATAAAAGCTAGTGACTAGGGTAATACTACAGTGTGCTTTTAAAACTGAGTTTAAAAATAATGACTTGAATAATCTGGTGAAGAAAACAAAAAGAAGAAAAATAAAACAAAAACAAAATTAACGTAAGACAAAAAAATGCAATAATGAAACATTTGGTGCTGTTTATGCCATGTACTGTAGTTTAAGACCTTACAAGAAGACACACGATTCAGAAGTTCTTTAAAAAAACAGACATTTAAAAACAGGTTGTTCAATTTTGTATGCATTACTGTTCACTTTACTTTGGTGTTCCATTTGCTTTTATTCTAGTTCTTGTTAAACAGGCATTACGTGGTCATGTCCGTTTCAAATGCTTAGCATTATAATGGGATCTCATATCTTTCCTCAGATTAAATTTGGCTCCACAAACACCACATGTATACAGGTGAACATCCATATGCTGTTCAAGTTGTTCATTATTTGGAAAAATCTGAAAACAGACTTGGCAAATTGTCTCTCCAGGTGAGAGATGGGATATCATATGCCGGACATGATCATGTTTTCGGAAGTTTCCTTGGTCACAAATGGAGCAGACATACCTGGCCATGCCTTTGTGCATGTCATTGTGAAGGCGCAGCTGACGTTCTCTTAAAAACTGCTTCCCACATGTCTGACAAACAAATTGTTTTTCCTTGGTGTGCACAGTATAATGTTCTCGCAAATGGCAACGCTGATAAAACCCTTTCCCACAAAGATTACAGAAATGCTTGCGTCGATGATCCCTTTCATTCTCTTCCATAATGGCATTCTTGAACAGATCTTGCTCCAGGCAACTGGACATATGTTCAACTACCAAATTCTCTGTTTCAAAACGTAATCCACAATTAGGACATCGGAAAGGGCAAGCTGAATCCCTGTACAGTTGTTTTTTTGGAAGTGTGTTCATCTGAAAATGGCTGTCTCCAAACTCATCTAGCATGTCCACATACATCATTTCTTGGTTTTCAGATTGTTCCTCAGGACTCTCTTCCAAGTCAATTTTCTCCTCCACGTTCCTCAAACCATTGGTGGTCAAGTCTTGGGGTTCTCCACATGTCTGTGCATGATCCTGTAACTGCCGCCCTTTTACTAATATCTGGCCACATTTTCCACATGCACATATATTTTCTATGTGTTTGGATAAGTAATGAGAAGACAAATCTTCTTCCGTGATTGTCAGCCCACACAGTTCACAAGATGCATTTTCTGTCACCTCTTTGACAGCACTGACTTTATTTGCAAGGACTCTGGCGCCTCTAATATATTTTCTAGCCTGCTCATCAATAGGCATGTGGGGTTTTAAAAGAGCCTTTCTAACACTCCTGTTTTCACTGACATCTTCCTCAATGTAATACCTATAAACTGGTTCATCATCATCTAATTCATCATTATCGGTGGAATCGTTGCCATCTGTTACCTTAACGATGTTAAACTCTTTCAGGTCATCTGTAGGGTTATCATCTGGTTCCATTTTAACAATAATCCTTTTCCTTTCTGTGGCTCTATTTCGCTCTTCATTTAATGGCTCTGATGAGACACTCCTGCTTTTTCCACTTGTTACATTTGATGCTGGGGATGAAGACCTCTCAGCAGACTGGTTTGCACCTCCTTGATATTTGTCCAATTGGGAAATTGGCATTTTAGAAGTAGAGTCCCTTTCACTGCTGTCTTTCTCAGACCCAAAATACCTGGCATTCTGATAGGAATGCCTATTAGTGCATGACATGATATGCTCATCTAACAGCCTCTCACAACTGAAACTGAACCCACAGCCATCACAGGTAAAACTTCTTCCAAAGCGTCGTGAATTGGACACTCTGTCTTTGGCACTTGAGAGTTTTGACACAGTGCTCCTTTTGCAGCTCTCCAACGGTTGCTCAGAGAAACTGTTTAGTTGCAAAGCTTCATCATCAACCTCTCTGCTCTGGGAAGTGCTCACAGTAGAACTTGGTGGCTCTGGACCCCACTTGTTTGCTTCGCTCCTGTTTTTAGCCAGAGTATCTTCATACATCCGTACACCAAAAATCATTTTGCTATTTTGAGTGCTGGAAGCAGATGAAGAGCACTGTAAACCAGAGGAGTTTGTATCTTGTATATCTTCCAGACATTCTGGCACATTATAGAGCTGTAGGGAGTTCATGGCTACTTTAAATTGCTCAAAGTTAGCTGGGGCTGTCATGATTTTCCCTAAATACATAAACTGTAAAATGAGATCAAAGCACTCAGCTGTAATCTTCATGTTGCTGAGGTTCAACTGTGCTGTGCTGTGCTGCTGGCTCATGAAAAACATCCTAAAATAAGAGCTGCAAGCAGCCAGGACAGCCTTATGTGCCTGGAAGTAGATATCATCAATTGCAATACAGCAATCACAGAGAAATCCCCATTCTCTTTGGTTGTTCAGTTGCTGAAGGACATAGTTGCTATGGCTAGTCCTTGCCATCTTGTGCTTGAATCACAATCCTGTGTCAATAGAAAGGGAGGAAAGAACAACTATTAGTTATGTTTAGAGAACTGACATAATCAGATTCCATCATACCATATGACCTAGCCATTTACCACATTGTCAGAAATGACAACAAACAAAAGGATCCTCCTTCTTGAACTTCAGTCAATACAACCTTTGGGAAAATGGTGTGGGAGGAATCCTTTGACATCCCATCCAAGGGAAGATTATTAGGGATTAAACTATTGAGGTTGCAATCCTAGTATGTTTACATAGAACCTGGCTACACATTATACTTCACATTATATTCACACCATGTGAAAAATAACCATGCACAGTCACACACTTTGCCTCTTGAGAATTTCCTGAGAGACCGATTGAGAAAGCTGGAAGAGATTTCAGAAAACTAGATGTACTCAGGGTCTCAGATATCTTAAATTGTACAGGTTGTAAAGAACTTTCTCCAAGGCCATTGTAACTCTGAACCATTGTTAAACGAATGGTCATTAAGCAAGGACTACCTGTATGTCTTTCTTTCCAACCTCCTCAGATTTTTCCCACCCTTTCTTCCCTCCCTCTTTTCATAAATGATTTCTCCAACCCTTCTCTCTTCAGAGCTATTTCTGATTAGTGTTACATAGCCCTGATAACCTAAATTCCAGTATTTGCTGTCCTTAGAACAGACTTTGTAAGCTTTGGTTAGGTATTCATATCACACTAAGCATGTGTTTGTGTGTGTGTATGCACCCCCTCCAAAACTGACTCTCTTTCTGAGTTTTGGCATAGTATTGTGTATAAACCGATTCTTGCAACTAGGTTGCACCTTTTTTTAATGTCATCTAATGTTTTTAATGTTTTGAGGGTTGCAGAGGACATGGCTGAGTTATAATGTCACAAGAAGTGATGAAGCAGACATTTTAGGGTTACGTTTTGTGTGTGTGTGTGTGTTTATTCTTGCTTTTAGAGTATTGGGGTTTCAAGGGTTTGGGGATATATAAAATAGTCTACTGAAGTTTTAATATATGTGTTTTACATATTATATTTAAAGATATAATGTGCTACTATAAATTGGTGACATTATTGGAAGGCCCCAAAAAAGAAACTGTTAGGTTATATGTGGCCTACAGTTGTCTACCTCTGGTTTAGTACATTCAATATACATATGATACTAATTATGGTTTACCCTAAAAAGTGAGGAAATTTTGGTTTTGTTAGTGGATAAAGAGAGAGGAAATAAGTATACAGACCTGTGGAATGCCCTCAGTCAGAATGAGAACTGGAACATTTCTTATTTGCTAAGGATACCCTTTGCTGACTTTTAGATTTCTTCAGCTCAAGTGCTGCCAAAGCATGCAAGAAATTCCTTATAGAGATTGCAATATGTGGCTGAAACTCTGCCTGAGCCATAATGCAATGCCTTCATAATCTCCAAAATAGGCAGGCCTATGGCCAAAAGAAGGCATGACTAAATACTGGAAACTCACCAATTTCTAGAGAACTGGCTTGGTACAAAATAGGACCAAGGAGAAACTTGATAAAGAGCATGGTATTAATTCAAAGAGTTTATCAATCCATGTAAGACATTTATAACGCACTGAGATACAGGAAGACATGCTCACAAGTCAACTAGCTTACTAAAAGAAAAACTGATCTGTTCTTCCTGAACAGCTGCTGTTGTTGTTATAATTACATTTAAAGATACAGGGCAGCCTTCCCCAACCTAGGTGCCCTCCAGATGTGTGAACTTCAACTCCCAGAATTCTCAGCAATGGCTATATTGGCAGATGTATTCTGGGAGGAGGTTCACACATTTAGAGGACATCCCGTTGGGAAAAGGCTGACTTAGCATGTCATATGAATCCAGAATCAGGGGCAAAATGTGGTTAGTAAAGCACCACCGACTCCATGATCTTCAAAATGGATATGAAAAATCTACGATCAGATTTACCAACAATTTTAAAGAAGTCACTGGCAATGAGGTAGGAGAGAACTGAAATGAATTAGACAGTGGCAACATATATGTGTATGAGTGTAACTCATTTTTGTCATCCTGCTTACTCAGTTGAAACTATTCCTTTTCCCTGAAGTGGAAAAACAATCTAAGCTGCTATACGGTACCTATCTTTTTCCTCCAGCAGGGCTAACAGCAGAGCAGGAAAGAGAGAAAGATGGAATTTGATCAGGAAAATGTTGCAATAGGAGCAAAGTATCAAACACCCTATCTTCAACGTCACTGCCTAACTCCAATTCCACTCACTTTCTGTGGCTGCCTTTGCTCTGTAATAAACCATGGTGGATGTAATCACAGATCCATCATCATGTCCTTATTTGCCCTTAGCTGTTGTACTACAGCAGCTCAACTTGAACTACTTGTCTGTCCGACAGCATTACATTACATTCACAGAAGACAACAATTTTCACAGAAGGAAACTCACATCTCCTTAAAGGTGCACAGGGGAGAAGAGACAACTTGCCCCAAGAAAAGAGAAGCTGGTCTGATTCAATAAATCACTTAGCAAAACAATCTAAGCAAAGCAACATACCCTGTTCCCGCAGCTGTCTCATCTGATATGATCTCTAAACTTTGCTATCATCCTCGTAGGTGTCTTCTGCACTCCTTCCAGTCTGTCAACATCCTTCTAATCATGGGTGGGGAAGAGCTGTGGTGTTTTATCTGAGGCTTCTGTTAATGCATACATACAAAATTTTAAATTAATGGCAAGGAAACTGTCTCAAAAAGTGGAATTCCACAGATTCCCAGACTCTCCTATTTTCCCTTCGGCATCAGTTGCTTAACCAGCAGCAGTAGTTTCAGTTCACATACTTCTCATGACATCCACTATAGTTTTCCAAAAATTCAGTGGAGGAGCAATGGACAAAGGCATACACATACATGCTAGATGTGGTAAGGAAGTCACAAAGAAAAACAAATTCTCCCTCTGAGAAATGTTCCAGAGAAAAATGAGTGATCTCTGTGCTATTTCTTTATCAACAATGCGGTCTTGTGATGGTTTCCCTCATCCATTTCATCCTACCCACCTCTCCAACAATTTATGCAAGAAATTATTTTTTTAAAAAAGGGGATCTGGCCACAATATTTGCACAATTCCTTAAGTGTGACAACTCTGGCTGGCTTAATGTGCTACGATAGCACTGAAAAGATTTCCCAGGCTTGAGTAACCCACAAGACTACATATACTGACTAGAGGTCAAATGACCTAACTTTTTATGGGAAATTAAGTCTAGAGAAATGTTGAAAAAAGACAGTGAATTTTAATGACCAAAGAACACAGGATACAAGTTTTTAATTGCCTCAGTACAATGTAGTTGCTTCTTAAACTTCTAATAGTTCAGCTTCATCTGGTTTTAGTTTAATGCTAAGGCACACTGAACCATCAAGGGGCAGCAGCCAAGACTCACACCATTTGGTTACTTCCCAAATATCAGCATATGATTTATTTTTCTATTATTCCACCTACTAAACAGGCCTTGTTATAACAAAGAATAATCAGATCAGAGTTAACTGTTGGAATATTAATTCACCTCTCGCAAACCATTTATTTAAGTTAGGAGGCTGGTGAAATGTAAGTGGAAGGTCACAGATGTGGTGATGGCTGTTATCTTAGAACCAGTTGGATAATTTATGGAGGGTACATCTATCAGTGACCAGCTATATACAGTCTCTGACCATTCTGTATCAATGGCTGAGGAAGGGCAACAACAGAATTCTAGAGAACTCAACAGCTTGTTATCTTTTGAAATGTGTTATCTTATATTGCACGATTGTGAATTCTGGATCCTCTTTTCTAGGGACTAACATGGCTACCTTTGTGTTTTTGATTCATGGCATACTTCATAAGGGCCCAATGCTTTGTAGACAATTCTGTGGCTCTCTAGATGAGTGATCCTGCAGATGTTGTTGAATTGCAACTCCCAGCATCCCACATCATTGGCCATGCCTTCTTACTGGAGTTCAAAACCCCTGGAGGATCACACTTTCATCTCTGTTCTTGTCAGATTTGATGGCCAATGGATGTTAAAAGTAATCATGCAAGGCTGATTTTGGTAAAGACATTTTCCATTTAAAAATTCATGTTTACAAATTAATACTTTTAACTAAGAAAATGGCACTACCCAATCCAACAACAGTTTGTAGATTATACAATATCTATAAACAATGTGCTAGAAAATTAACTACTGTACAGATTTTAGAAATTGGAAGTAAAAATTGATCAAAACAATAATGAATACATTAATAATAATTCAAACACAGATTGTCACAGCTTTCTAGGAAATTCTTTTCAATCCAAAGGTCAATCAAAGAAGGTAAAAACCACTGGATACATAGATTGAGGACTCTGAGCTAACTTGGAAGAATATTACCTGTAAGTAATATACTTGAGAATAGCTGCCAGTCATTTGATAACGCTGGACCATAACGTTTATCAGGGCTGAAGACTTAGTATGTTAGTGAATCCAACTAATTGTGGTTTATTCAACTAAGAGATATACATTTTAAAATATACACTTGTCAGCTCTTTGAGATAAGCCAGATCAGGAAACAAAATGATATAACAACTACTGGAACACTATTGTTGCAGGGTATAATATCAGAAAGTTGACAGCCTGAGTTTCTCTCTCCCCCTTCTAATACTAAGAGCTATAAAGGCTGGAGAATCCTTGGTTTCTTTTTCACTGCTTCCCCTCTTTCAGAGCTTAGCTGTTGAATACCTTCTTCAAGGCCATCATATTCCTCTACATTTGAACTCTTCCCTATACAGAAACAATGTGTATACACAGGGCAATCTTGTCAAATGTTAGTATTACTTATTTTCTTCACTGTCTCCTCAGTTCTTGAAGACTGAAATGACTGAAACGTTTCTAAGTTTCATTTCCAGGCAAAACGTCACCCAATACTGAGGATCCAAGAACTGGAGGGGGGGGGTATTCTCCATGAAGTGATTCCAGGATTTCATTTAAATTCAAAGACTACAAAAAAACAAAAAACTAAAGCAGTTTCAAAAGACACCTGAGTGGAGGGAAAATACTGAACACGAAGAACCTAAAAGTTTAACCCACCGCTATTTAAGATACTTATAACGTTATACAGCATTTTTAAATAACACGCCCTTTTGAGACAGCATGAGAAATTGGCGTGCCAGGCAGCGTTCTTCCGATTTTTGCTGTTTCATCTATTTATCTCTAAACACCAACAAAGGGCGTTAGTTGGTGGGGGACATGACAAGCGTAGCGTTGTACAAATGCCCGCGTTTCAGTCAAGCCACCGGCGACGCAACGTTCCCACGCGCTGCACGGACTCTGCTCCTCTTCCCGACGCCAGGCACAACTTTTGTCGGCGTTAAGTGCCGGACGGAAAACGTCCGCCCGGCTTTGCACTTTTCCGCTCTTCTCCGGCAAAAAAGCTGATGGCGGTGCAAGGCGCCAGCCACATGGCTGCAATAATCAAGGGAGGAGAAGCAACAGCAGCCCTGAATCGCAGCTAGGAGTGGCTTCCGCTGGAAAGCCCCACCACTAGGCCGGGCGGACGGGCTGGCGCCGCCTTTCCCTCTGGTGCTCGGCGCAAGAAAGGGCCGAGAACAGGGAAAGTTCTCCGGCGCCTCGCTCTCCCAAACGCAGGCGAAGGCAGAGGCATATGCCCGGCCATTTTTTTCCGCTCCTGCCGTCGGCCGCGCTGCTCTGCTCCCGCCCGGGAGCCCTCCCACCACCACCCCGGCTCGGCCTCCGAGGCCTGGGGTCGTCGCAGCGCCCAGCTCTTGATCCCCGTTGCCGCGCAACAGAGATCACCTCCCGGGCCTACCCCATTCCCTGCCTGAGGAGGCGTTGCGCTGGCGGGCCTCGCGCCCCCACTTACCCGCGGCCAAAGCGCTGGGGAGGTCTCGGAGGGCCGCTGCAAAACCGGAGAGGGGCCTCGGCTGCTCTGCCGGCGCGGCCGCCGCCTCCTCCTGCTGCAGCAACAAAGGACTTCCGCCCCCGGCCGCGCCTGCTGCTGCTGCTGCTGCTCTCTTGCTGCAGAAGAAACTCCGGCTTCGCCTCGACCGCACTGAGACGGACCCC